CTGGCCAGGGTGCTGGTGGGGCCAGGAGCCCAGTTGGGACCTGGGATCTCTGACTCCTTGAGCCAGGCCAGGCACCAAGGTGCCGAGGAAGGTGGCTGCCCTGTCCAGGTCACGTGTGCCAAGGACGGGGTGCCGGCATGGCTCTGATGCTGGCCTGTCCACGCGAGCTGGGCAGAGCCACCTGGCAGGCCCTCAGGGACTAGCTGGGAAGGCCTGGCCCCTGGTGCTGCTCCTCACATCACGGTGTCAGCCCAGCTGGATGGCCCTTACCGTCAGGGCCAGCGCCACGGAGTAAGTCCAAACATATGCCCAGTGGGCGCCCTGAGGCCTGGCGGAAGGGGGACGCCACACCTCATTCCCCCAACATCTTGGCCCCCAGCCCCTCAGGCCTCCGCTGTGCCCCGACCTCGGGCCTGGGGTTGTCTTCAGGGGCTGTACTCAGCCCTGCCCTAGGGGCCTGGAGCCAAGGACTGAGGCTAGAACCGCCCGTGCCCGGCCAGTGCCAGCACAGTCCCCTTTCCCACAGCAGCATGTGGCCCTCAGCCTCCTGTCCAGAGCCGCGGGGGCCCAGCCCCTGGCACCCACAGCTGTGGCCCAGCCTGGGGTCTGGCAAGGAGGGCCGGGTCTTGGTCTTTGGCCCAGGAGGTGTGCCCTGGGCACACTCACACACCAGCCCTCCCGCCCATGGCCAAGCCCGGCACAGACCTGACACAGCTGGGGTTTGCACCTGGGGCCGGGGCGTATGGTGGTCCCGAGCGCCTGGGGTCACTGACTATGACCAGCTGTGCAGGCACCATCCAGGGAGCTGCAGTGGGCTGTGCTTGCCCGAGAGGAGGCCTTGGTGTCCACACATAGCCCCCCAAGCTCCCAGCGTACTGTGGGGTGTGGGCTAGCTTCAGAGCCAGGGAAGTGCGCCCGGTTTGGAGGGACACGCCGGCAATGCTCTCAGTCTCTTGGGTGGGTCACTTCGAACCCCTGGGAAAGTCAGGGGTGCCTGAGGGCAGCTTGCCGGTGGCCCCAGGGCATAGACATGGCCACTTCTCCAGTGACGTGCAATGTGCAGAGGAGTTCTGGCTGGCCTTCCCTTGGAGGGTCTGCAACCCCGACTCTGCCTGTCCCAGCGGAGCACTCTGCCTGTGCCCAGTGCACCCACTGTGAGCTCCCCTCCTAGTTGGGCCCCAGCTCTCTAGGTGGGGGGATCTGAGCCAGGTATGCAAGCCTGGGGGTACTTGGCACAGGGAGGGGGCTGAAAGGTCTCCGGGGAGCTTCCTGGACACAGTGGGTACATAACGGCGTCTGCTGGCTGACCTAGGGGCTGCTTCCTTTTCTTGTTTTTTGCCAGAGGGTGTTGTGTGCGTGCCAGAGATAGAGAAAGTGAGAAAAAGCACCCCCTGTGGGGCTTGGTCAGCCGGCAATGCCTTCTCTGCCCCCGGCCTCAGGATTTGGGGCATGTATGCACGTGTTCCCCACAGGTTTCTCAATCTGCGGGTCCAGGACTTGAACTGCACAGTTGGCCATGTGGGATCCAGCCATAGCATGCTACAGACTGGCCCCAGTGGGAGAGGGATGCAGGTCTGGCCCTTTGTGGTGGGGGGAGCAATAGATGTCTCAGCGCACACGCCTGGCTGGGCGGGTCCACGTGTGCTCAGGGTGGGGTGGGACAGAGGTCACCCCTTGGAGCTGTTGCACCGACCCTGGCCTCGGAGCCCGCCGTGCCCCTGGCAGGGTGGTCTGACTGGGCGCTGCCTGAGGGCTTGTGCAGAGCGCGCTCACAGCAGGCGTGCCCGCTCCTCCCTGCTCCTGCCAGCGACCCGTGAAGCCCGCACCCTGGCCCGCGGCAGAGGGTGCTCACACAGCCAGTCACGTGGGTACACATCATGCTGCCTCCCACCGTGGCCCCGTGGCCCGCTCAGGCTGATCTCCAGGAACATCTAAGGTCAGGAGCCCCATGTGCCTCCCCCTGAGCCAGGCCGGCGCGTGGGCCCAGCGTGTTGGCCACGGCCGCTGACCGAGCCCAGAGAGATGTCGGCCACGCCACATGCCACGTGCTGACTTGCACAAAGGCACCTTTCCCGATGGGCACTGAGGGCCATCCGGGTGAGCGGTGCCCCAACCCCCATTCAGGGAGCAGCCGGATTCAGAGGGACCCTCGTGGCCACTGCTGGGTCCCAGAGGCAGGGACTACCTGAGAATCTCTTGGGGGACAAGGTCAGGAGCAGAGGCCCCACCCCCAAGGCCCCTGGTGTCCACCCTATAACTCTCAGCAAGGATTCCCTTCCCAGGATGTTGGGGAGTGAGCCACCTGGTCCCTGGAGGGCCCCCTGCCTCCCCCGCCTTACTTCCTGGACTAGCTCGGGAAGGCCCAATCTCTCCCATCTAGACTGCTGGCCCGCCCGGGCTCCTACCGGCATGCTGCCTGCTACCATGGCGACCAGCACGTGAGCCAGGCTGGGTGCCCGGGTAACGCCGATGCTGGTGGCGTGAGCTGGCACCTGCGGTGTGCATGCACCAGGGGAGGGCAGCTCCCCCTCTACTGGCCCTGAGCCCTGGAAACTGGGACTGGCCCGGGCAGCCCGCCCAGGCGAGGCATAGCCAGGGCTGCCGTACCCCAGGCCCCCCAGGCAGTGCCTGCCAGGCATCAGGGGGGTCCCTGAGGTCTGCCCGCTTCCCTCCCCTGAGCCCAGACTTCCCCAGGCTTCTGCTCTTTGTCCCCCAGGCCAGGGCACACCAGCCAGTCCCTCCCTGTGTCCCTGGGCCCTGCAGCAAGGAGAGGGGTCCCCTGCTGGTGGGCGCAGCCCAGGTCCGGCTCTCACTCTGCTCTCACCCTCGCAGGCTTCTGCTGGGTCTCGGCTGGACCGGCCCAGCCTCCCTCTGGTTCCTGAAGGCGCCCAGCTGGGCTGCCTCATGATTTTTTCATGTGCACTCTCGGCCTGACAGTTCCACTTACAGGGCGGGTGGGTAGGCAGGCGGGGGGCGCTCCTCTTACTTTGCCTGGGCCTGCAGTGGGGTTTAGGGTGACAAAGCCCACAGGGGGCTCCCAGCCAGACTGCTCAGTCAGCACCTAGGTTGGCTCCTAAAAACCATTCCCAGCCCATCCACCACACCCCTCCCTCGCCCTCCCTTCAGGCAGGAGCCTGGTAGCTGCTGGCTGCAGGAGAAGCCAAAGTCCTGGCTTTTGTCTTTTGTAAAGGCTTGAAGTCCTAGGGGCGTGTGGCAGGGGTGCAGGAAGACCTTCTGCAGAAGCCAAGAGGATGGGAGGAGCCCAGCCAGAGGCCCTAAGGTCCAGCAGGGCCAAGACCCTAAATGGACCCAAGGGCAGTGCTGAGGCCACAGCAAGCCCATGGCCTCAGGGCCTCCATCCGAGCCCACCTTGGGCCTTCAACTCTCTGGGGCAGGAGGGCTCCCTGGGTGCTCTGGCCTCCTGGGCTCAGAGCAAGGACAGATGGGTTCTGGAGAAGAGGTGGCCGCACACTGGTGAGGGGCTAAGACCAGGAGCACAGGATCCCCGTGCACTCCCACGCCACTGCAGGCACCCGCCCCAGCTCAGCCTGCCCTATGCGTCTTCACACACGCACTACACGTGCACACGCACAGACACACACTGCATAGGCGTGTGCACATGCAG